CAAACAATATTAAATATTCTCCTCGCACTTATTTTGATTCTTTTTCTTCTTTCTCATTTTGTTTTTCCCATTCTTATTATTCTTTTATTGTTTTCACTTTTATGCCTTTTACTGTTTTTGTTCTATTTTGTTTTTATTCATTTAATTTATTTAATATATTTAATTATTTAATTATTTAATATATTTTTTATCTAATTTATTTAGTTTTTAATCATTGAATTGTTTAATTAATTTTATTTTATTCCTTTTTATCTCTTCTTAAGCCTTTAAATTCTCATCTTTCCTTTTCTCAATTCTAATCTTCGCCACCACAAGTTCCATTTCCATTTTTATTTTATTTTTCTTTTCCCTTTTTCCCTTTTCTTTTTTCTCCCTTTTCTCCATTTCCTACTTTGAGGGCCCCCGTGGAGGCCCGTGGGGCCCCCCGGGGGCCCCCCGAAGTCTCCCTGGGGCCCCCGGGGGCCCCCCTGGGGCCCCCCTGGGGCCTTTTTGGGGTCCCCCAGGGGCCCCTTGAAAGCTGCGGAATGGAGGAGAGTTGCTTTGGGGAGTTGGGTTGCATGCAGAGGCCCTTGGGGGCCCCCGGGGCCTCTTTTGGAGGAATTGGTTTGGAGTGGGACACAGACATTTTGTCCTTGTCACAAAAGTATAAAGGAATGCTGCAGCGGGTGGGGTGGGTGCTGCTGCGGCCCTTCGTGAAGGTGCTGGGCTGCGGCAGCAACCCCGTCATTCAGCTGCTGCAGCACATCGAGGTCCGCGCCACTGCTGCTGCTGCTGCTGCTGCTGCTGCTGCTGGTGCAGCAGCTGGTAGTGCTGCTGCTGATAGTGCTGCTGCTGATAGTGCTGGTTCTGGTGGTGGTGGTGGTGATGGTGATGGTAGTGATGATGGTGATGCTGCTGCTGCTGCTGCTGCTGCTGAATATTGATTGTTAATAGAATATTTGTTGAATGTTAATTTGGGACGTTTTGAATTCTGCTTTTTGTTAATTGGCCATTTTAACAATTATTGATTTGGGATTTTTAGAATTCCTTTTTAATTTTTGGAGATCATTTAATAATTTGAAACTTTTTTATCTCTTCTTTTTGTTTTTAAAACTTTTTGTTGCTTTTTAGACTTCTTGTCTTTGCTGCAGAGTTTTTTCCTCTTTTTAATTTGAAGTGCAAAAAGAGTTTCAGATTTTCGCCATTTGTTTGCCATGTTTTATTATTACTATTACTAATTCTAATTATTACAACTATAATTATTATTATGACTATATTCATTACTATTGCTGTTATTATTATTGTTATGATTATTTATTATTATTATTCTTATTTATTCTTTTGTCTTAATTCTTTTGCTTTTGATTTTCTCATTTGTTTCGCCAATTAATTATATTTTTGGTATTCCTTATCTAATTTTTTGTTTTAAATTTATTTCACATTTTCACTTTGTTTAAAATGAATTAAATGAAAATGAAGATTTGCTTGTTTATTAATTTTTCGATTTATTTCTCTTTTTGTTGCTTTGATTTGGCACTTACAGTTAATTCTTTTGTCCATTCTTTGCCCCCACTGTTGCTTATTTATCACCATTTATTGATTAATTTAATTTAATTTGATTAATTTAATTTAATTTGATTTAATTTAATTTAATTTAATTGTTTATTTGTTTTATTTATTTGGACTCAGGCGAGATACGACCCCGACATCCCCTACCACACAGCCACCCACGCGGCGCAGGTGGCGCATGCAGCGATGGTCTTGAACACGAAGCTAGATCTTGATCCTTTGAGGTAATTTCGACATTTAAAATGAAATATTTTTAAATTAAATACATTTTAATTCAATTTAAATAAAAAATGCCGAAGTTTAAGCCCGAATTCAGCAGTTCCCAGCGAACGGCGTTCTTCCGAGCTGTCTATACACCCCAATTCAAACATAAAACCCGCGCAGCCCTTCGCTCGCGAAAACGGAAATTAATTAAATTAACTTAATTAATTAATTAATTAACTTAATTAATTAATTAATCAATTAATTTAATTAATTAAATTAATTTACTTAATTAAATTAGTTTTATTAATTAGTTAATTTAATTAATTTGTTCACCAGTTTAAATGATTAATTCATTAATCCAGTTAATTTAGGCAGTTCGGTTGTCAGCAGCTAGAAGGCAGACAGAAGCAGAAAAGCCAACGAGGCTTGCCGCAGCAACAGTTGCAGTAATTGGTGCAGCAGCAGCAGCAGCAACAGCAGCAGCAGCGGCTTTAATAGAAGGAGCAACAGCAGCAACAAAAGTAGCAGCAGCAGCGCCGATTGTAGCAGCAATAGCAGCAGTATACATTAAACTGTGTGCATGCATTAAACTGCATGCATGCACTAAAGTGAATACACGCGTTAGACTGCATGCATGGATGTCTTAAACTGCATGCATGCATGTATTAAATTGCATGCATGCATGCATTAGATTGCATGCATGCACCAGCAGGGTCCCTTAGTCCCTTTTTTCCGTCTCAACTGCCCCCCAGCCACGCACGCATGCATGCACGCATGCATGCACGCATGCATGCACGCATGCATGCACGCGTGGATGCATGCATGCATGCATGCATGCATGCACGCAGGGAGAAGACGGGGACGTTTTGCCTGGGGCTGGCGGCGCTGGCCCACGACGTGGGCCACTTGGGAAAGACCAATGGTTTCCTGCAGCAGTCTAGACACCCGCTGGCGACAATTTACAACGACAAGTCCATTTTGGAAAACTTTCACGCTTCAGTTCTTTTTCGAATTATCAACGAAATGTAAATGCTGCATGCGGCTTTTAATTCGACTAAAAACGCCTTTTAAATGCCACTTTCCCGTTTTTTTTTCGTCTTTGTTGCACTTGAAATGGAGCTGTCGATACACTGCAGCGCCCAGCCAGGTGTACGTACACCGCAACGCGTGTGGGAAGTGGTTTTAAATAAATAAAATTAATTTCCGTTCTTTTCTTTTTTGGTTTTTTTGAAGCTTAAGATGATTTAAAATTCAATCTAAATGCAAAGTGAACTTCGAATTAAAAGTTTAATTGGATTGGAGTTCATCGAAATTGAATCCTGGGAGAGTTCGATTTGAATCAAATTAAATTATAAGTAAATTATAATTAGATTATAATTAAATTATAATCAAATTATAATCAAACTATAATTAAATTATTCCCAATTAAATTCACATTCAAAAAAATAAATTAAAATTAAAATTGATTTTTTCCTTTTTGCGTTTTTGCCCGCAGCCCCTCGGCGAACATTTTTTGTTCGCAAAACCCAGAGGTGGGATTTATTTGTTTTTAATTTAATTTAATTTAATTTAATTTAATTTAATTTAATATGATTTAATTTGATTTGATTTGATTTAATTTGATTTGATTTGATTTAATTTGATTTGATTTAATTTGATTTGATTTGATTTAATTTGATTTGATTTGCTTTCTTTTTGCGTTAAACGAATTTAATTTAATTTAATCTAATTTAATTTAATTTATTTTATTTTCTTTTTGCATTAAATGAGTTTAATTCGATTTGTTTTCCTTTTGCATTAAATGAATTTAGCATAACTTTTTTCTGTTTTCCGCATTAAATGAATTAAAATGGCAAAAGATTTGAATTGATAAGAATTTGAATTAAAATATCACAAGATTTGAAAAGAAAAAAAATTAAAACTGAAATAAAACAAAAAACGAAAAATCAAAAACAAATCTGCATCTGCACTTGTTGAATTTTTCGAAATTTTTAAATTTGAGTTCAAACTTTTTGCAAAAACGTCCCATTTGAAGAGATTTAGAAGTTCCATTTGTTTTTAAACGTCCAATTGACTTTAAAGTTGTTTTTATTTATCAAAAAGTCTTTTATTTTCTTTTAATTCCAACAAATTCGAATTCAAAACTTCAACTTTTTCTTCGCAGTCTTATCAAGCTCTCAGGCAACAAATCATTGCCCTCATTTTGGCCACTGACATGAAAGACCATATTGACTTAGTCTCCAGATGCAAAGTGAGTTTAAATTAATTAATTAATTAATGAATTAATTTAGCTAATTAATTAATTGATTAATTAATTAATTGATTAATTAATTGATTAATTAATTAATATTTAATTAATTTAATTAATCAAAACGATTGGTACATGAAAGACCATATTGACTTAGTCTCCAGATGCAAAGTGAGTTTTAATTAATTAATTTATTTATTTACCTATTTAAATAATTAATTAATTAAATAATATTTAACTAATTAATTAACTAATTAATTTAATTAATCAAATTGCTTCGTACATGAAAGACCATATTGACTCAGTCCCCAGATGAAAAATGAGTTTTAATTAAGTGATTAATTAAGCAATTAACTAATCAATTAAGTAATCAATTAAATAACTAATTAATTATTTAACTAATTAAATTAATTAATCGATTAATTAATTAAACTAATTAATTAAATGGTACATGAAGGGCCATATTGACTTGGTCTCCAGATGTAAAGTGAGGTTTTAATTTATAAATTCATTTATTTATTTATTAATTTATTTATTTGCTTATTTAATTAAATATATTAATGAATTAATCAATTAAGTAATTTAATTAATCGAAATGACTGGTAAATGAAAGCCCATATTGACTTGGTCTCCAGATGCAAAGTGAGTGTTTAAATTTAATAAATAAATAAATAAATAAAAAATGAATTTAATTAATTAACAACCTACTTAATTAACTACTTAATTAGCTAACTAATTAACAAACTAACTAACTATTTATTTAGTTATTTATTTATTTATTTATTAATTATTTATTATTTGTTTTTGTCTGAAGAGCCGGCGGGCGTGTCCGGACTTCAACTTATTTGTGCGCGAAGAAGACGCTCTTCACGTTCGCAAAATGCTTTTGAAAATGGCGGATTTGTCTCACGCCCTTTTGTGTTGGAAAGACCATCTCGTCTGGACTTGCAAGATCTCCGAAGAGTTCTACCAGCAGGTAAGCTGCAGCAGCAGCAGCAGCAGCAGCAGCAGCGGCGGCGGCGGGGGTGGAGGGTGCGGCTGCGCTCGCAAGGCAGCGGGTCTACCAGCAGCAGCAGCAGCTGCTGCT